TCCCATCAGGTCAGGATTCATCTTTCCATTGACTTCTTCAGAATGGCCCACATGACCACTGGAGGGAGCTTGGTCTGCAGTTACTACAGACCACAGGCCTGTTGTGGTAGGCGTTTATCATTCCCAGCATTTTTTAAAAATATTACTGTTATGTTTAGAAACTCTCCAGACTTGTGAGCCTGAATTCCCCAAAGTAGAATCCAGAAATGCCAATATCCAATTTCCTTCGTATCTAGGACACAGCCAATCCACTGGTGTCATGTAAGACTTTGACTTGGAAGTGAGCCAAAGGAAGAGGCCACAGGTGGGATCAGATCTGTGGTGAGAATGGCAATAATGCTATCTGCTTTCAATGATGGCAGTAATGGTGAGGTTGGGGCCCTGCTATGGAAGAGATATCACTGTGGCTGGCAGTGGCGAGTGTTAGCAGTTCTGTCCTCAGTTCTGGGGCATGGTATGGCTTCAGATACCTTTTCTGGTTTCTCCAGCCTTATAGGAATCCCATGACATACCCAACATCTTTTCCATAAACTCCTCTTCTGATTTATCAACCAAAATTACCTTTTGTTTCTAACAACTAAACGTGACAACTAATACAAAAATGGACTGGAGTTGTGACAATCAACAGAACCTCAGGGAAATGAAGGTTACCTTGAATTGGTTATCTGGTCTGGCAGGGATTGACGGCTCAGAACATCCAGAAGTAATGGCAATGGGCTCTAGTAGCCAAGCATGTACCTGTGGCTACCTGGGAGGAAATGCTCCCTGCAGTGGAGGTTTTGGGATATCTGGTGGGTGCTCCCTCAGAATAACATGAAGCCTGTGGGATGTGTGGCTCCCATTTCTAGGAACCCAAGTCTTCCAAGTGACTGGGATTCCACTCAGGTTGTGTGGTTCTTGCACATCCTTTTGAGGCCAAGACTTCTCATTTACTTTTCCAAGTCCATCCTAAGCTCACTAAGGCCCATTCTCATATCTCTCCCCTTGGATCGAAAAGGCCACTGGACCACATAGACTGGATTCTCTGAGATGATCAGATTTGAGTGGAGTCCTCTCCCATTTCACCTCCTATTCTCCCTTCTCATTGCTTCTGCCAAGTTACAGCCACCAGGAAAAATGGTAAGACATTTATTTATTGAGTCATCTACAGCAGTTTGACATCCTTAAAATCTTGGACAAGGTTGTGAGCACAGCATTAACAGAGGCAGCAGTAGCAGTGAGGTCTGGGGGGCTGATCTTTACCGTGGGAGATGAAACCCAGGCAGTCCAGCCCCCTCCAGTGAGCTGGGAACTCAGGATGCCAGAGGCTACACCACCCCAGCCCCAACAGGACAAAGCTACAAAAGACAGACATCAGACAAGACACATGGCTGAGAGCAGACACATCCCAGGACCTGGAGGTCAGGGAAAGAAGGAATGGGCAAACAGCCCATTTGAAGAATGTCCCAAATCTTTGAAGGATTCCCAAGGGGTTGGCAAGGAAATGCTCACATCACCCACCTCTCTCCACCTTAATCCCAAGAGCAAACTGAACCTAATGAAGACGAAGCTGAAATTCTGCGTCAATTAGTCTCTAGCCTCTTCCTTACCCCCAGTGCTGGTGGTGTTACAACGTGGGCAAAGATTAACCCAGGAGGGCTTGAAGTAGTAGATATACAGCAAAGACTCCCTTTCAGGGGTCTTCACCCTAGTAAAGAACCCACATCCATGTAGTTTCCAAAACCTTTTCACACATAAGGGCATCTCACGTCAAACTCATCCCTGGCCTGTGGGGCTGACAGTGCACATCATGTTCTTCCTATTTCTCAGATTAGGAGGGAGAGGCCCAGAGACAGAGTCTCCTGAATCAGAGAGCAGCTCTCCCCCTGCCACACTGACTCCACTGCTTGTCCTGAAGAACCCTCTCTAGCCAGAGCTCGTCTCCTGCACAAGGTGAAATGTTTACCGCATGAATGCTCTGAGTGTCACATCCTGGCTCATATGCAGACTGCACATATTTGCAGGGCCACACCTTCATCCAGAACTATAAAACATACCTGATCCCAACATGGTAGCAGGCACCACGCTAGGCCCACCTGTTTTTTCAGCAGACTCTTGGGGAGGTTTGACCCACAGATTCTCAAGTTTTTTACCAGCTCTAGTATATGAGGAGTGAGTCAAGGTCAACAGCAGACCAGCAGACTCAGCCTCTTTCAGCTGACTTCCATGATCCCAGTGTTCAAGCAGGAGTTTATGGTGACAAAACACTCACTGTTTTCACTTTGAAGTGGCCCTGAAGGGGACATAGGTACTACTCAAAGAAAAAGAGAGGTTCTTGGAGCTTTCCCTTCCAGGAAGAGAGTCAGGTCAAGGAGGTGAGTCGGCACCCTCGGAAGGTGATAATGGACACAGGTATACTTCAAGCCTTGGGCTGCGTTCCAGCTCCCTGGCCCTATTACCCAGAACACCCAGTTTGAAGGTTAGAGGAATGACGGTGTCCCTGCAGGCCAGGGCATGCCCACTGAGATGGAGCGTGTGGCTTGGCTTCATGCATAATGCCCACAGGGTGGAACACCACAGAAAACCACTGAGCCGCCCCCTCCCCGGCTCCCTGACAGCCTCCTCAGCATCCTGGGCTTAGAATCCCATTTCCCCAAGACTAGAGTCCCTCTCCTGGCACTACCTGCCAACTTCATGGCTAGATATCATGACGGGAAATGAGACCACTTCATCCCACGGAGTAAAAGCCTCCCACGGGTGACTTTTGTCCTTCATGATTGTACAGAGGAAGAAAATCTCAATTCCCAGGGGAGACCCCCCCCTACAGTCAGGGAGCTGGCAGTCCTGCTCCTCCCCAGCCCCACTCTGCCTGGGCCTCCCAGCCCTATTCATGTGGCCCAGGTTCTTATCCTTGCTTGGGCCAGGCAAATGCCACAGTCTTGGGGCCCCTTCCAAGCAGACAGCTGGCGTTTAGACAGAGAATTCCAGAGGTGCATGGGGCTATATACAAATCACCTAGTCTTATTGCACATTTTATGGATTTAGAAACAGAAGGTCAGAGAGGGATGGGTTTTTCTTAGACCTCATGCTATACCCCCTCCCCACTTCCTGTGACTGTGAAGGTCAGAACCTTCTGGAACATTCTGAAAACATCAGGTACATATGCTCACAAGACTGGCGGAAATTCATTCCAATAGAAAGACAAGCCAACCACAAACTAGAACCCGAAACCTCTATGAGGATGCAGGCCCAGGGCTCAGAAAGCAGCACAGTGTGTGGGGTTCAGGATTGATTTTCTTTTTGCTGTTTGATGTCATCTCTACAAAGTCTGTTTCTTCTTCCACAGTGAGCAGACCTGCTGGTAGGGGCAGTGATGAGTGAATGAGGTCCATCCCCAGGGAGACTGCTCCTTGGATGTGGAGGTGGCCACTGGAGGTGCCAGCCCTCCTCAGCCAGGTACACATGGCTGGGTCTACCTATCATGCCCAAGGCACCTATTCAAATGTCCATGGCCTGACCCTTCCTTCCAATCCTCCAGCTTCCATGTGGTATGCAAATGGAAGAGACAGAAGTTCTATTTCTAAGAAAAGGAAAATAAATGGCATTCCCTCCATATACACCCCACTCACCCAAAAAACCTTTAGAGGATGCTCACCCTTTTACCTGCCTTAGCTTTGAACTGGAAAATTACAGAGCCTGGAAAAACAGTGCCTCACCTCACAATGGGGGCTCTGGAGCCCAGAACAGGAAGCACCATGTCCACACACAGCCGTCTGTGCCTGCCGAGAGCAGACTCTAGGCTTCCTAAATTCCTGGCCGTGGCTCTTTCCCAGCAGCAACAGTGTCCAAACTACAAAATGGCCAGGGACCGCTTGTCTGGGTGATAATGTACACCTGGCTCTTGGTGCCACACTCCATCATCTGTCTGAGTCACCAAGTGTGCCCAGGAAAGGGTGGGTAGCTCCTTTCTCCCTCTGTCTTTGCCAAAGACCCAGGGACTTACTTTATTGGCTGAGGACATGGGGCTCCTCTCCAAATTGCAGCAACTGGCACCCTCGCCAGTCACTCTGAAGGCCTCTCTAGAAGCATTTCCCCATGTCAACCAGGCCCCTTCCTTCACAGGACCAAGTGAAACAACACCCCAGTCCACCCAAACTCCCCAAACATTCCAGAACACAATCATGGAACAAGTCGGCAAACACACCAGGAGCTGAAATGAAATAAACTGGGCCTGCACAGGGCACTTCCTCCTCCCTCCCCAACCTAGTACTGCTCTCTTTCACATTCTTAGGCGGTAGCTGTGCACTTGCAGCTAGAGGTCAGGATGGGTGTTAGGGAGCACACCCTTTATCAGAGTCAGCTTCTGCTGGTGGGCGTGGTGAGTGTGGCTTCTCCACTGGACGCCCTGGTGGCTCAAGGTGAAGGGCATAGAGGGAAGTCTTTGCAGAGGCCTCAGAAGGATTTCAATAGTTAAGTCCAAGCCCAGGGAACTGGTGCCTGGGGCTCCCCATCATCATGGGGAAGGGGGGTGCACCCTGGGCCTCAGACTTGAGTGTGTATGTGGAGGTGGGAGGTGCTTCATGATTCACTGACGTCACAGGCAGGCGGCTGGTTCATCCTAGTCATGGCTTTGACTCATGGGGAAATTGGGAGAGGGTGCTGAGGGGCTCTCTGTGGTGGGTGTCGTTAGGAAGCAGCTTCTCTGGGGCATCTAGTGGTGGCAGGAGGGGCAGAAAGGAGGCCATCAGCCAGCTCATCGTGAATTGGGAGTAAAATAATGGAGATGGTGAAGATCTTCCATGGGTCTCTCACACTTGTTCCATTCTGTCCTAATCACATCCACATTGCTGACTCTCAGCTCTTCTTGGATCAAATGAAAAGCACCAGAACTTTTCCTGACCCACAGCCCCCCTCCAAACTGAAATCTTTGACTGGAAGAGCCTTCAAGCTATCCCCCTGCCCTGGGATCCAGAAGCTGAGCACCTGGACACCAAGATGGCAGGTGGGCACTGGGGAGCCACGGACTGGCCTGCACTGAAGGGCACTTTGGCCACCCACGCTGGACCTTGGGTAGGCCTCAGGGACTGAGCCTAGGCCTGAGAAGGGCCTTTTGGTGGTATGCAGACTCAGGGAGGTTCATATCCAAAGTCAGACAATACAGGAGTGATTGGGGCAGGCACCACCCCAGCTTCCCAAAGCAGGGTCTCTCCAGCCTTAGCTCACAAGGCCTCACAGCCGGGGTCAGGCCATCACTGAGGCTGGTTGAGACACAGTGTGGTGGAGCTGAGGCCTGGTTTGAGAGGAGCAGGGCACTGGGGCCAAGGGGACAGAATGGAACTTTCCCAAATTCGAGGAATATTTACATGTCTGGGTCAGGACCCAGGGGACCAGTCTGGGAGGTACTGGAGGGGGCCAGTACCAAGATGGGAGGGGCAATACAGTCTGCTCTTCCTCCTTCTCCCCCCTGGAGAGCCAAGCTTCCAGCCCAGGGCCCACCCAAGGGGAGGGAAGAGGCACAAACATGCGTGGGCCGGCACCTGCCCGCAGCCCCAGCCTGTGGATGCAGGAGAGGAGGGGAGGGTGGCTCAGGTGGCCAGGTTGTCAGTCGGGAGGCCGGACATGCGGATCTGGGAGCTGCTCTTGCTCAGGATGGAGAGCTGGGTGCCCCCGTTCACCCCACTGCTGGCCAGGGATGGGTGCCGGTGCTTGAAGTCCATGGTAAAGTAGCGATTCACCTTCCAGCTCCGCCACTTCCGCTTGATCTCCGCCTGCACCTGCAGGGAGCAACTTGGACAGTCACTTCCAGGTGGACATCCTCTCCAGTCACCAGGCCTGGGTCCTTTCCAGGCTGGAGCTGCCACCTCCAGCAGTCCCCTGCCACAACCTGCAACCCTTGAGATTTCCAGAGGTGCTTCGACCAGCCATAGGCAAGAACACACCTGAGGAGCTGACCAGAACAGTCCTTTCCTGCTCACTGGTCACTGAACAAGGCCTGCTAAGGGGCCCCTGTTGTCTGCAGACCAGTGAGAGCCTAGTCCATCAACTCTACCAGGAAAGAGCCCCACAGGGAAGGCAAGTCAGCAGCAGAAGGACCCCATTTTCACAGCACATGAACAGTGCACAGGAGAGTCACCTAGGGAGTTTTGAAAACTCCAGATGCGCAGACCATACCCCAGAACAATTGCATCAGTATCTTTGAGTAAGACCCAGACATCCATAGTTTTTAAAGCTTCCCAGGTGATTCCAATGTGCAGTAGAGCTGAGAACCACTAAACAGTGCACCCCTGGAATAGCAAACCCTCATGTAGCCTATAGCATGGCGAGTAGGGGCCATATCAAGTCCCAGCCTCCACACACCTTCTATGGTCCTTTGTGCACTGCACAAACCACACAACCGAAAGCAGCACCTACACCCACCCTTTCCAGTTCTTGCCCCTACTTCCACTACAAGCTCTGGACAAGCTACACATACTCTACTTCCTGGCTCTCCCAGACACTGCCTGCAAAGCCCTTGCTGCCTCTCCTTATCTGCCCTAATCTGACCCTTCGGTAGATTATGTTGGTGACAACAAGCCCAATCTCCATGTTTCTCAGATGTAGAAGATGGGGAGGAACCTGCCAAGGTCACGAGGTCATGCAGCTAAGACCCCAGTGCTGGTGCACAAATAACTGCCCATTCTCAAACCCATCCCACCCAGCCTGTCCTCAGCCTAGCCCTGACACCTTTGTTCTTGGGCTCTACTCAAGGGCATCACCTCAGGAGAATACAGAGGAAGCCCCCAAACTAACAGTTCTCAAAATGGAGGATTACTGGAAGACTCCAGGTCTCTCCCTGGGGTCTCTTCAAAATCCTCAGTCCCCAACTTACCAGGGGATAGTCTGGGCCATGCTGGCTGGCCTGCTGGGGGCAGCACTGAATGCTGGGTGGCTCCTGACTCAGCAGCTCTGCCCAGCACAGCCTCATGACCTGTAGGCACTGTGCCCCATGCCTGACCCTTCTTCATGTCAACTCTTCCTCACTAAAGAGCATCCTATAGAGAGTGCCCCCAGGGAGATCTGCACTGAGGCTCCTCAGGGAGATCCATGCTCAGCACAGCTTATGTCTTTACAAGGTAGAACTCTGCTCTTGATTGGGGTGGGGCTTCATAGCACAGCTGCCAAGTGGGAGAGATTTGGGCACAGGGTAGAAAGTGTTAGGAGACCCTAGTACCACCCAATGTTGGCAGCTGTGTGACCAGCCAGCCCCCCAGTGCTCATAGCCTGCCAGAGCCCTCCCCTGAGGGATCAGCCCAGTAAGGCCAGCAGGCTGCTCCCTGAGTGCTCCCCAGTGAACCCCACCTGCCTGCTGAGAAGCCAGAGAGCAAGGATCTTACCTCCCCGTTCAGAAAACAGTAGAGAACAGCCACCACGAAGCCCTGGGAAGAGAGGGAGAATGAACCTGAGAGTGCTAGCGGAGGACCTCTGAAGGGCTGCCTGGGGCATGTGGGGATAGCATGCGGGGAAGCAGAAAGACACCATGACCTGGGTGGGGGCACCATGACCGGGGTGATAGGGGACAAGTTCTGTTCCAAGATGGGCACACCCATAGAGCCAAGTGGCTGGTGGGTAAGTCCCCTCCCACTGATGCACTCTGGCTTGGGGTTCTCACCTTCCCTTAGTCAAATCCTGCCTGTTCCCAAAGGCCAGCTTCATCCCACTTCCTATAAGAAGCTTCCCAGAAGGCTCTAGAATGTTCTTTTGGTTCCCAACATATCAAGAGACTCCTGAGGGCAAGAGCCCTTCAGGACAGAACAGGCCTTTACTCACCACCACCTCCCTACTGTGCCCTTGGCCGGATTCTCTGGTATGCAGCAACGCAGAACCAGACATGGAGTAAACACATGGCTGTACGTGTTTAGCTCTCCTACATATATCCTTTACATCTATACTGAACAAAGCAACAGCATTTTCCTGAATGTTGCAAGTCAGTTCTTTGCAATGCCCTATGTCCTACACTGCCACCTGAAGGGGCCAGAGGAATGACAGCTCAAGGCCCCCACAATCTGTCAGTGAGCAGAAATAGGCGCCCTGGGCTCTGACTCCCCAGCTAGGAACCTGAACCAGGGGAAACAGCCTTTAATTAAAATGGGTGGGGGGAAAAGTCAAATCAGTGCTCAGAGTAACTTTCTGATAATCAGGATCAGATCCTAGTGTGAGTGGCTAGCTGAGGGAGAGGCGCTCTATCCTGGTGCCCTCAAGGGAACCACCCCAGCCTCTACTGGTGCTCTGCTGCTCCTGTCGGCTCACCTACTCATTGTGATGCACCCAGCCCTTCCCTCACTCATTGCAGCCCCTTCGTTCATGCCCAGAGGTATGACTGCCTCCGCTCTCTCATCCTCTCGCTCGCTCACCGATGTGTCTTTTTGCTCACACACCTGCGCAGCTCCGTCAGCTCTCTGTGGCCAGGTCCTACACTACAGACCTTGACTTGGCTAAGAGCATTCCAGCCCTCACCGCTGTCTGGTCTAGCAGGAGGTCAGGATGTGGACAAACCAGGCCACTCCCCCTGCACTCCAGGTGGATGACGAGGTGCCACCTCAGATCACCTGAGGAGCCTGGCTTAGGACACCTGTCACAGGGATGCCAGACACTGTGTGTCTTCTTCCAGGAGCTGAGTGATAGACAGAGGACAGGGCTCTCCCAGCTCACTTCTACTCTAGTACTCTTACTTCAGAGGCAGAAACACTGAGGCCCCGAGTCTAAGTTGAACAGACTCCAGAACACCACCAGATGAGAGGCCAGGGTCCGGGCTGCGGGGTAGCTCTGCACTCCACACACAGTAGGCCTACCTGGAAGGAGCCCAGCCCAAGTTCAAACACAAGTCTTTCCTTCTTGCTGAAGTTGTCTGGGGAGAAGGCAAATACTGTGTAGTGGATTCCAAATAGCGGGATGAGCAGCAAGGTGGACCGGGCCAGCCGTCTGTCGGGAGAAAGCAAGACACCTGCTTCAGGCACTGCCAGGGCTTGGGACCCGAGCCACATCAGACAGGGAGCTCAGCCCCAGCCCCTTGCTTCCCCCCAGAGCTAGAGCCCTGTCCACAGACTCGTCAGCATTCTCTCCTAGCACAAGCGGCCCGGGAGAGATGGTGGCCACCAAGAGCCTGGGCTGCCAGGACTCCCCAGGATATATGGATGACATCCCCAGTTTTCAGGGCACCCAGGCAATGTCATATAAAACCACTAAAAATGTACAGGCGGGTGCACAAAACCCTCAGAAAAGCAAAGCCCAGACAACACTGGGACAGGAGTCAGAAGGCCTGAGGGTTCCTTCTGGGGGCACCCTCCTCTCTGGAAGGAAGCGCGTGTGCATACAAAGAACAGCCCCCAACGGCCATTAGAGACTAGGCTTTCCTGAGTCTGGGGACAGTCACTGAAAGTCATAGGAGCTGCCGATGACAGGGAGGGAGGGAGGACACAGTGGGTAGAACATAGGAGAGACTTAGGAGGGGTGACTGGGCAGAAGCCACCTGTCTGGGAAACTGAGTCAAGGGCAGAGGAGCATGTCTGCTCTGAAGTGGGACAGGTGAGGGAGAAAGAGCCCCCTGGGGCAGCTCTCCCGGGGCTCCCAGCCTGCCACTGGCCCCTAGGCCAACAGTGGGTGGAGTTGTATTCCAAGGGTACAGGGCACGAGGTCCCATGACAAGACACAAGGGTGTGTGCACTTAGGGGTTCTGCTCTATGAGAGGGGTGCTCCTGGGGTTCTTCCAGAGCGGGATACCACTCCACCCGGCCCAGCCCTACAGATGCGGCTGCCCCTGGGCACACCCTGCCAGCCCCTCCAGAGGATGGGCCTCGCCCTCTCCTGGCAGAGTTCCATCCACAGGGGCAGATAGCAGGTGTGAGGGCAGCCATTTGATCTGGGGCAATTGCACCATGTAACCCTCATACAGCACTTCTGGGAGAGAATGTTCTTTGGATGTGGGAACTAGGTTTCTAGAGAAGCTGAACCCATGGAGTCTATGTGAGGCCCCTGGCTGCCTCACTTCTCCTGGGAGAGAAGGAAGGATGAGCCAGGAGGAGATGAAAAAGGAGGGAAGGAGACATGGAGGGAGGAGGAGGCTGAGAAGAACTTCAGGAGGAGGAAGGTCAGCCAGAAAAGGAAGAGGCCCTGGAGTGGGGGCTCCACTTGTTTCTTCCCTGCTCACAGGCAGCATGTGCTGCAGGCCCCTGGGCCCCAGACCACAGGAGGAGCCCACAGGCCTGAGCAGCTGCCTGCTTTAAGCCCAGATGTGCAGCTGAGTGGTCCATCCTCTCAGCCATCCTGTTTTGTGCCGGCCTCTGCCTCTGTTACCATCCATGGCGAGCACACACCCTGCATGGAGGGGCCATGTAGAAACAGCTTGTTTCACAAATGAAAGAATGGACCACACAGTCCTGCCACAAGAGCCTCAGCATCCCCCAAACTGAACACCTCCCAGGAGCTCGGGTCTCACTCGTCCCTGGGGGTCCAGTGCCCAGCACTGGAAGGCTGCGGGGAATGTGTATAGAAGGAATGAAAGGCAGAAAGCGGAGGCAAGTGGCCAGAAATGCGCACACATGTCCATCTTGGGAGCCCTCGGTGGCCCTACCTGTAAGACCTGTGCTGTAAAGGAGACGTGCATGGAAGGCCCTGGGGAAGGGAAGTCAGCCCTGAGACATGCCCGCCGTTCCTGCCTTCCTCTTCCTGGCCACCCTTCCTACAAAAGGTCCATTTCCAGGTACTTGTCCCTGCAGCTGTAAAAGGGGGCCTAGAAACCAAGAGGTCAAACTTCTCCAGCCTCCGTGGTGGCACTAGATGGGATGGGTTCAGAGTGAGAGGAACAGCGGCCTTTCAGGCACAGGCTCAGCCCTGGCCAGTCACAGGGTGGGGGTGTGATGACATCAAAGCATCCCACAGTGCCACCAAGTTCCTCTCCCACAACCCTGCATAGCCCGGCACAGTCAGGGAATTCTGCTGGGGACCTAGGGCATCCCAGTGGCCCCTTTGGCAGATGAAGCAGTGAGGACAGAGAAGGAGGTCTCTAGAGCCCAGGAGTCTGAGATTTCCGTACTTCCAAGCTGACCTGGAATGGGAACTTAAGACGTGAGCCTCACACTATGACCAGATCAACCCAGACAGATAGTGACACAAGGCCTAAGCCTGTTTTCCTGCCCCAAGGAACCACCAATGGGCAGAAGAGTCCTAAAATACCAAGAGCTTCCAACGTCAGAGCTGCCCCAATTACAGTGTGCTGCCCGGAGGGAAGGGGCAGCAGCACCCTCCCTGAAAGACAAGTCCAAGTTGAGGCTGATAGCCTGGGCAGAGATGCCTTGGGGCATAGTGTTCAAGGATTTGAACTCCCTGGGTTCAAATCCCTGCTCTCTCTCTGCTTCATTTTTCTCATCTGTAAAATCGGGATCATACAATGACCCACCTCAGAAGAGTATTGTGGGGATTGAGTGAGTTAATGCTGACTCACACATAAACTGCTATAGACATTGAAGTGAGGATCCCTGCCCCATGCAGGGGGACAGTTAGATGAACTTAAGCCCTAAGACCCATAGAAGTTATTAGGCAATTGCAAAGGCTAAAGCCCAGAGAAGTAGGGATTGGGGAAGGCCACACTGGGGGCTGCAGAGGCAAAGACAGCAGAGCTGCTTCCCAGGGCTCCACGAGGTCCACAGCTCCATCCCCATGCCCTCCCCCCACAAGGCTGCAAAGAACTCACGAGACACACAGACATCAACATGCAACAGCTGGGGAGACAGAACAGGACTGGGAGGCACAGGCTGGCTCTCCATTGTCCTCCAGCAGCGGCGGTGGCAGCATGCGTCCCCCTCCCCTCCAGGACTCCCGGCCACAGCCACGGCCAGGCACACTTACAGAGTAATGGTGGACAGTTCTGACATCTTGCAAGAGTGCTGCTGAGCCCGCTGTGGCTTGCAGTAGCATTTCTGCACGCAGCTGCTGGGTATGACAAGATTAGCACTTCTGTCAGCTGGGGGCATCGGGCAACCCAGATCACAGGGAGGGCAGAGGACAGAGAAGGTGGACACAGGGCCAGGGCAGTGGAGGAGAATGAGGAAGCTGAGGGCTGAGACACGGGCACCTCTGAACAGAAAAACGCACGCTTGTATGTGGACACGTGTGTGCACAGCCACACACACACAAACGAGCACTCTGCTGGAACCACTTATAGCAGCGGTTCTCAACCTGTGGGTCTCGACCCACAGGAACTGCATTAAAGGGCCGCAGCATTAGGAAGGTTGAGAACCACTGACTTAGAGGGAAGGTGTGCGCACAGAACATGTGTAGGGGCTGGACTGGGTCTCACACAGGAAGCCAGTGGCTCCTTCAGGATCAGTTCCAAGTTCAGAGCATGGCCTTGTCACTTGGCAAGATGAGAGCTGGAAACTCACGCCGTGAACCTCACTAGAAACTCAGACCATGGATCTCACACACTGCCTTGAAACAGGCTTGGCTGTGAAGGGTGACAAAACTCCTTCCCCTGTCCTCCCACTCCCTTCTGCTCACCGCTTCCTCTCACTGAGCAGCACCCCCACACCTCAGCATCAGTGCACAGGGAGCAGAGGGAGGTCAGACTAAATGGCTTCTTAATCTGTCTAGACTTGGACTATCCGATACATAGCCACTCCTATACGTGGTTATTTGAATTAAAATTAACCACATTAAAAATCCACTTCCTCAGTTGTCCTGGCCACAATTTTAAAGCTCAACAGCCACATGTCACTAGTGGTTACCAGCTGGGCATTTCCATCAGGGTGGAGCATTCTGATGGTCAGTGCTAGGTTGCACTTCTTGATAAAAATTTAATGAGCAGGGACTGAGGCTGAGAGGAGCACACAGGCTCCTTCCATGTGGCCTGCAAAAAGAAGCAACCTCAAGGAGGCCCAGCTCTACATCCTCGGGGAGGTGGGGGCAGAGCCTCAATCTCCTCAAGAAGGTCTCAGGCTGAATAGCCACCTCTCCAGCCCTTCCTGGTCCTGCATATGCTTGGACCAGCACAAGCTGGGGACACTTCCTTCTCTAACAGACACGTCAGAGACAGATTAAGAGCCCTGTCATCTTGCCACCCTGAAAATACGATGTTGCTTCACAAACCCTCCCCCCAGGTGCTACGTGGCACTGGGGCTCCTGGTACTGGCCAGTGAATTAATAAATTGCATGTGGATCTGACACAAATGAGGACAGATCTACATGTGGTAGCACAGACCCGAGGCACTCACACATTAGCTTTTGATGATTCCAGCTCTCTGAGAGTAAGCCTGAGTACCTGACAGGTGGTCACATGTCATTCTGCTAAGGCTGGGATTTGTATTTACACACTTCCAAGGTGGGTCAAGTGCAGGCCTGCCCGACACCTGTGCCTTGTGGGGTTTGGGGTTCTCATTTAATAAATAGCATCTTTCAATTCACACCACACTCACAGGTGGGAACTGTGGGTCCCAGTTTCCAGAACAGGGAGGCTGAGGTGTGGTTTGATTCTTCGCTCCTCAGTCTATGCTGTGGACCATCAGCTCCAGCACCACCTGGAGCTCTGAGAAATGCAGAGCTTCTGAGAAATGCAGATTCTCAGGGGCCACCCCAAACTCCTAGCTCAGAATCTATATTTTAACAAGATCCTCAGGGGGCTCCTCATGCACATCAGAGCTTGAGAAGCACCATTATGGGATATTCACACATCTGAGAAGTTCCTTCACAAGTTCTCAGTGAATGTTGAAAGTTTGTTTTATACATACACAAAAGTCTGACAGGCAGACTCAAATAAGCATGCTTTTCTTGATAACTACAAAGGCTTAACTGGGTATACAGGAATGGGGGTTATTCTACTCTTCAAATTTACTATCTGCCTCATGCATACTGAAAGGTTGGTCAGTCTGTCCTATGGCCAGTGACCCCTCAGACGTTGGCCTGGGTAAACTAGAGAAACTGGGGTCCAGCTTCAGCTGTTCCCTCCTGTACATCAAGCTTAAACCCTCACTCCAAATTCAAAAGCTTCAGCTCTTCTCCTCTACAAAGCCTTTTTCTTTAGTTCCAAAACTGCTCTGCCCTTCTTGGACTCTAGGTGTTTGTAAAGTAAACAGATTTCTCTGAGTTTCTAAAGGATTTTAGGGGAATATTCTAAAAACTACGTAGTGACAAGTTGGCTGGGAATTTCTGCTGCTGGTGCAGGGCAGATGAAAGGGCAGTACAGGGGAGGATTGACCCTAGGAGGGCCCTCAAGGGACAGGGGTCTAGGGAAAAGGCCTTCTCCAAACCTGTAACAACTCTGTGCAAAAGGACTCTCTGAAAAGACAGAGAACAGGATAGTGGCAGGAAAGCCAGAGACAAAGGCAGGAGAAAGAAAGAGAAGTGGAAAGCTCTGAAAAGTCAGAATGATTAGTGAAAAGGCAAAAGGAATTTAATCAAGAGGAACAGGCAACCCTAGGCTGGCAGATGAGATAAATTCTGAGTTGGATCCAAGGGAGGATATCAAACTCAGATGAAGGCGTTGGGTGAGGACTGTCTGGAGAACAGCAACAGCCTGAGTCAGAAGGTGGGAGACCTCATCGTAGGTGCAGGGCCCAGGCACCCCCACAGCTACAGTATGGGGAGCCTCAGCCTGCAGGCCTGGCTCTGCCCTGGCTCAGCTGCATCCATGTGAAGCTCCCAGCTGCTTCCAGCACTCACATCACACAAGGATCCAGCACACAGTTTCTATGGTAGCCTTTGCACACAGGGCTGCCTGGGCTGCAGCCCCCAGAAGCACCTAGCAGGACAGTGGAAAGACACCTGTCTTCTTTACCTGTGACCCTACTGATGGGCACAGCATTGGATTCTGGCAGTCTACAGAATGTGTTGGACTGAGTTGAACATACTCCATAAGGTCCCTCCTGATACTAAGATGCTGTGCACCCCTACAACCCCGCCTAGTCCCCCCAGGAAGCCCTCCCCACCACACTGGCATCCCAGTTAGAGGATCAGCTGGGCAGATCCGGGGAGCATCCCTGCTCACCACCACCTCCTCCTCTGCCACAGGATGAACCAGCCCAAAGTGCTCCCTGCCAGCCTGGAGCAGCCCACCTGGGGGTTGGGGCACCGGAGCTCCAGGCTTGTTTGGCCACTGATTTGGGTGATCTTAGGTGATGCCACCTTCTTTCTATGGGCCTCAGGTTCTACACCTGCAAAGTGAGGTAGCAATTCCCTGCTGCTGACCCCTACCAGAAACTATGAAGATTGCCTGCTCCCTGGTAGGGAGGAGGTACTTTGAGAGTGAAAGATGAAGCCCGTGTGAACCAGAAGCCTCTGCCTGTGGGGAGACCCCCTGGGCTGAAAGCCTTCTCTGAGGCTGCCTAACCCAGCAGGGCCTGTCTTCAGAGGGGTGTGCTGTTCTGCCTATGGGGCCGAGAAGAACCTGATGGGATGCGGATGGGCTGTCCCTGTCCAACCCCAGACCCAGGATGCACCACCCTCTTGGTGGTGAGTGGGCCACTGGGGACAAGGCCAATTCACTCCAGGGCAGGGTCAGAGGTTCTCCCTGCACAGCCAGGGTCTAGTCTGGAAACCTCACCCCTCCCCTTTCAGAGCTAGTTGGCTGCTCATAGAAGGAAATGCTGGTCCCCAGGCAAAGACAGGCTACTCCTGGCCTTGGATGAATGCCAACCCCAGACCAGGATCCTAATCCCTGCCCCCAGACCAACTTGACCTTGAAAATGTGCTAAGCCGGACTCAACCCCTGCCTCCATCTCTGCCGGCTGCCCCAGTCCTGACCCAGGCACTCATTCGGACAGGAGCACCAGGCCAGAGAGTGTAGAAGGCTTGAAGCCACCATCCACCCGTGGGGACCCAAGACCCCTACAGGTCCTTCTGAGGCAGGGTCAGGAGCGCCGTCTCAGTCTATGGAGGACAAACCCTTATCATCTGAGTAACTGGAACCAACCTACAGGAAAGGGAGTGAATGCTGGTCTGAGGGCACAGGCAGGGGGTCCTCTTGGGCTTTCTTGGGGGCTCCCAGGCTTAAAACTGTTCTGGAAACAGAGGAAAAAATCAGACAGCTGTTGTGGGCAGATCTGAAGGGGCTCCTCAGCCCCACACAGAACTCTGGTGCCCGAGGCAATTCAGGCATAGCTCTGGAATCTCCCTCTCCCAACAGCCCTGTCCCCTCCACCACCCCACTGCCAAACATCTTCCCTCCTCCCAGCGCAGGCCCCTCCCAGTCCAAAGCCAATTCCTGTTCCAAGCACTCTGGGGTGGGGGCCCTTTTACACAAGGCTGGCACCCACCAGGGGCCTCTTCCAGAAAGCCTACGTTGCACACATGTTTAACGCTGTCTTCCCTTCTGTAAATCCCTGAGGGCGGGAAAGCTGGAGTAGTCAAGAGTGGAGTAAAGGGCCAGGCTGCACCAGAGCCGTGGCTTCACTCCTTCCCTCCAGATCCATGGCACTGGTAACTAGTTCCCTTGGCTGGAAAATGAGGATTCCAGCTAGCAATTGCTTACCCATCCCACCAGATTCGCTGGGTATTTGTGAGCATCAAATGTGCATGGACCGAGTTGTAAGTGGGGTTTTTTTAAGTATTCTGCAGAACCTAGCAGCATCGTCAGTTGGACCACCACACACCCTCATCAACAGAGTCTCCTTGACCCTGGAAACATTCAGAAATGTGGCTAAATTGCATGGGATCCAGCTGACCCCTTGTCCTGTGCCAGAACTCCCACTTGGCTTGCAAACCGCATCCACTTGCGTTCTTAACCTTAGGGTCTCAAGATCAAGAGATGTTCAACTTTCTCTAAAACAAGGATTTGCTGAGATTGCAAGGGGATGTTTTACTAGAAGTAAGCCAACTAGCTGGTTCTTTAAATGTCCTAGATTAATGTGATACTTAAACTTGCAGACTATGTCCTAATTCCCAGGGGTCTTTATCTGTTACTAGGAAGGCCTGACAGCAAGCAACTCCTGGTCTGTGATGAATGCGAAACCCCAGCCCAGCCCCTGGTTCCTTGCCCCAGACCCTGGGGGGGGGGGTGGGTTCTTGCTGCCTGGAACAGAACGTCTGGGCTGCCAAAGTGTGTTCTGGCTTGAGCAGGGTTCAGTGTTTTTATTTAGGTTGTGGCTGACTCCTACATGTGTCCCTGCATGATCAGAATGAGAGGAAGCTCAGAGGACCCCCAGAGAAAAAGTCCTGGGGGCCCTCAGAAGAAGAAACATATCCTACCAGGAAGAGAGGGAAATGTCTTGAGCTCAAGTGAAAGAGGAGGTGACTCAGCTACACACCGGCTTCAAATATGGGAGGTAATGCTTAGGGTTGGAGCCAGTCCACAGTCAAGCAGGGGAAACCGAGACCAGACACAAGGACACAGTTTCTGACACCAGACAGGGAGGTGAGAGGAGCAGCAGGGCCCTATTTGTGAATCCTTGCAATGAAGGCAGGAATGACCTCTCTAGGGCAGGTTAGGTAAGTGCAGAGGGCTGGCCAAAATGGCCCCCCAGTGCAGGGCATCTGGCACTTTATGACTTACATCAGTGAATGATTTTCTACTGCATAGTATACACATACAAGCAGGGGTTGGTAAAAACTTGCAAAAATGTGAAAAAATAAGACAGTAAGTGGATAGCAAAAAAAAAAAAAAAAGCGTCTGTTCCAATGTAATGTAATCACTGTTCAGGCAGAGAAAACATGGCCCTGTGCTAACCCCTTACCCTAGGGGAAGGGCTTCCACAATGGGAGGGACCCAGGCTAAAGTGACAGACCAAGAGTAAGGTCCACCTTCTGGGGAAGCCCAAAGGAGCCTTAGGAATGGAGCTGGGATTTGGGCTCTGAAGTTTCTGGCTCTCCTTCTCTCTGGGAGAATGGCTGGTGGGGGTTGAGGGAGGCTGTCTCTCTCATTGTCCACTGAGCAACCATCTGGTTGTGAGTCCCGGGATGGGGTCTCTGATGAAGCAGGACCGTGCACCCAGTGATGCAGTGCAGGCACCTTAGCTCCTTCTAACCTGCTTTATTCTGGAGGAACTGAGGAAGCAACACATGTGCCTTGTCAACAGACAGAATCCAGGACTGCCCTTGGAATCAGTGCCCATTGGTCCCTCCAGCCAACCACAGGGGACCACTGACTTCCTCCCAGCATCAGAAATGTCCCCATAACCCACACACCCAGCTGGTCATGCATTCATGAGGCAGAAGAGGGACATGGAAGGTGCTCTGTCTGATTTCAGAATGGAACAGGTCTGGGGCAGTGGGTCAGGCAGTCAGAAATAAGCTATTTGGGAGATGATTTTAAAAAATCCTTCTCAGAAATCAAATGCCCATGAAAGTGGAGAAAGCTCTGTGATCAATGGTAAGAAGCTGCCCTTGAACCAACAGCCCTAAATAAATCACCCATTTTTCTACTTGGGAGGGAGGGAATTAGGGCAGTAGGACCACATGCAGAGGTTGAGCGGCCCTGAGGGAAGGTAGAGCTTAAAAGGAAACCCCTTCCAACACCTGGACCCATAAGAATGTCCACCTGACTTGCTGTTAGAGACTGAGTGACTTCCAGAGGTGGGGCCAGGGATGGGGATAACAGGTGATGGAGTATCCAGCAATGTTCACAAGCTTCTCACAGAACCAGGATCCCTAAAGGAAACCCAACTTCTAACCTCAACCAAGACCCTAATCACCCTAGGGAATCTGGCATTTCCTTCCTGGTTTTCCTGGTGTCACACAGGCCCCATCAGCCTCTCTTTCCCTTCTCCATCTTTGCGATAACCATGCAGATAAGAAGCTCCTGGGTTGACTGAAGGCTGAAGGGGCAGCTATGTTTTAAAGGCACTATAATCAGAAAGAAAACTTGCACATACCCATTCTAGGTCACCCTTTCAGCAAAGCCCAGGCTTTCTCTTGCCTATGACCTGAATGCAGGACTCGCATGGCTGTTGGAAATGGGTGTGACATCCATACAATGGTACTTACAAATAAATGCTGGACTCATTGCCGCCCATATCTGGTGACTGAAGTTTCTGCACAAGGATGATGATGATGCCAATGAAAAGCACAAAGTTAACCTGAGGAGCAAAGAAAAAACAGGTGGACATATGACTCTACACAAGATTTCTATACTCCTGCCTCTCATAGGCTATTAGTCCCCCAACAGCACCTTCCCGCTTTCCAAACAAGATCCCATCTAGACTTCTAATCCAAGATGGCGACATGAGCATATTCATTTAGCTCCCCAACCCCTCACAGTACCATTGAAATGAAGCAAGAGATAAACGAAAAAGAATCCCATAAGAGTACTGAGTAATAGGCAAGAGTAACATGAGTGAGCCAAAAAAGTGAGCAATTTCTGGAAGAGGAAGAGAAATAGAAATAGGATGGAAAAGCTATAACCCAAAAGAGGCAGAGAAGAGGCTATTACAGAGGTGAGAATTGTTCTCTGGAGAAATTCCAAGTTCAGAGTCATTGAATATGGGGAACGGCCATGGACAGCCATAAGCATTATTAATTAAAAGACTGCCTGAGAGTAGCCGCAGCAGCGTTTGCCTTCAGGAAAGGCTCAGGGACAAAAGCTTTCTACACAAAGTGGGAAGTTGTGTGAATGGTGAGAAAGGAGGAAGGGGGAGCAAGTAAACAGAAATAAAGCATGGGGAGAGGACGCAAATCAACATCCGTGGGACGGAGAGAAAGCAGCCCTCAGAGAACAACGTGGACAGCCTAAAACTCACTGATAAAAAAAAAACACTGAGGGCGGTGCCTGTGGCTCAAAGGAGCAGGGCGCTGGCCCCATATGCCAGAGGTGGCAGGTTCAAACCCAGCCCCAGCCAAAAACTGCAAAAAAAAAAAAAAAAAAAAAAAAAATACTGAAAAAGAAGCATTCACATCAAAAGCTAGGGAAAATATCACAATGTGGAAAAGCAAAGTAGTGCAAGAGCCTCAAAGAAAATTAAAATGTAGCCAGAGAATAAAAGGCATCAGCCCCAGATAATTCTAGGAACCAATTTCAGAATGGCATTAAAAAGGTGAAATTTACATGATATTTAATTATTTCAAAGAAAATAAAAAGAAAATCTTGAAGATAACCTATGAGAGTAAAAAAATTCCTCTGCAGAAACCAGACAAGGACAGAAACAAGCACACACACGCGCGCACACACATGCACGCACACACACACACGTGTGCACACACACACATATGTAAGAGCTTAGAATTTATGAATAATAATACAAAACCTTTACACAAAATATAACCAAATAAAATTGAGAAGAGGATTAAAATAATAACAGATCATGGTCATGAAAGTTTGACCCCAGAAGTGCAAAAAGAAATCTACTGTTATTTGTTATAATAACAGAATAAAACAATAGGCTTCCATTATTCCCCATAAGTTGGGCAAATTGTTCAGTAATAGAAATATTAACAATGACACGACAAATGACCACTCTTGTATCTTGCTCATAGAGGGCAATTTGATACCCATGAAAATGTTAAATGTACATATACTTTTGTCCCAAAATTCCACTCTTAGAGATTTATTCTAAAGACATACGAGGTCGGACAATTAAGTTCTTGAATTCATTCCGGAAAAAGTGTTACATTCCTCATTGCTAAATATCACTAGGATCACCTTCAAAGTACTCCCCTTGGGAAGCTATGCACTGATGTCAACACCTAGTCCCCCCTTCAAAGCAATTGTGGAACTCTTTTTCTGGAATGGCCATGAGAGCTGTTATTGTACAAAGCCTGACAATTAATTTCATGAACTCATCCTAGAAAAATTGCTTTGAAGGGTGGACTAGGTGCTGGTGTCAGTGTGTAACATCCCAAAGGGAGTACTTTGAAGATGACTGAAGTGGTATTTTGCAATGAGGTGTGTAGCACTTTTTCTAGGATGATTTTGTGAACTTAATTGCTCCACCTCATATTCACCATGTTCAAGTTATGCCAAATATATTCATTACAGCATTGCTCATAATGAAGATAAATTAGAATGCTATAAATGTCCATTACTAAGGGAATAACCACTGGAATGAATGTCTCCAAAACACATGTGATAAAATTCAACCCTCATTCCTGATCTAAAAAAAAAAAAAAAGTACACAGTGAAATAAGCTGGGAAGAAAAACTTTCCTAATTCAACAAAGGGTAACTGTTAAAAGCTCAACCAAACATCATGCTTATGAAAATAAGAAACAAAAGATATAAATTTTGGAAAGGAAGACCAAAAATTATTTTCATTTGTATATTGTATAATTTTCTACCTAGAAAATTCACAAGAACCAACTTGAAAAGGGATAAAAACTAATAAGAAAGTTCACGAACATGACTTAAGAAAAGAAAAATACATAAAAGCTAATAGCTTCCCTATATACTGACAACAGGCCACTAGAAAATATAACAAAAGAATGATTCCTAGACCAAACAAAAGGTCAAACTGGAAAAGCCCTTAGAGATAAACATAACAAGAACAAAGAAGGAAACTAAAAAACTTCACCAAAATGGCGCCATGAGAAAGATGGAATAGAGACTCATGCCACCTTCTTTGAGAGGAAAACCCATTCTTTTAAGAAAGTCAATTCTCCTCCAACTTAGTCTTTAATAAATTCAACGCAATTCCTATACAAATCTCACCAGACCATTTTTACAACTTGACAAGGGTATTCAAAAGTCTACCTGAAAGAGTAAATGTGTAAGAAAATTTTGAAGAAAAGAATGATGAAGGGGAAATTTGCAGAGCAGAATCTACAACAAGGTTGTACATGTAGTAACTAGCGCAGTGGGCTATCTGCCACGAGAACAGACAAGTGGATTAGTCACACAGAATAGAAAGTCCAGAACCAAAGATGAGCTTATTGAGTGTTTATAATAAAATGACATTTCAACACAACAGAGAAAGGATTCAACAAAGGACTGAGAGGGTGGAATGTTCATTCATTATAACAATATAATAAAATTAGTTAAAATTAAATATCATTTCAAACAAGACCAAAATTAAAATTTCGGCTGGATTAAAGATGTACATGTTAATACTCCAATCCATGAAAGTGTTACATAACACGTAAGAAAAATAAGTTGAGAAAGCCCTCTGTAAACAAGAAGTAAGGTTTGGAATTCATAAAGAGAAAGCTGATGATTTACTCAACAAAAGTTACACAGAAATGGAAATACACTTACAAAATGCCCAACAAAGGAGGTGCTACTGTCCTTCAAACAGAAAATCTGATAGAAAAAATGAGCAAAAGAAATAAACAGGAATATCCAGAATAAAAACAAATTGTCAACAGATGTCTAGAAAAAAATGCTCAGTCACACTAGCAAGATGGAGAAATGAACATTAAAACAATGAGCCACCATGATCCTCCATAAGACTGTCCAAAAATTAAAATAATTGATATCACAAGTGTTGACAAAACCACTGGAAAATGAACCACCCTCTCTAGGGAGGTAAAAGTTGTTAAAAGGTTTTTGCAAGACAATTTGGGGTCTTAAATTTTAAATGTACACCCTTTTGGGCCCAGCAATTCCACTTCCTCCCACTGAGGATTTATGCTAAAGAAATATCTGCACATGCTTAAAATTATGCACGAAACTATTTCTGTTTTTTGTAATGAGAAAATGGAATAATATAAATGCGTAACACTAGGGGAACAGCTAAATAATTTGTGCCTCACAACACAGAATATCATGTAGATATCATCCATGATAAAGAAGGTCTCAGGACACTCACCATTATAGAGCCAACTACAGGGCCTTTGATCACCCACCACAGAGCCGTGCTGTCATTCATCTCCCAGCAGCTGAAAGACCAACAGAAGAGAGATCACACTGGGGGTTGACCCAGATTCCTGAATGACACTGCCCCACCCCGCTGGGAGTTCAACACATTCTTCCCCTGCAGCTCCCTAAGGAGCTGGCTGGCTGCAAGGAGGGCTCTCCAGTGGGCTGCAGATGTCAATCTGGCTCTGGTTCTGAAACTGCCTTCATTTAAGCCTTGGTCTTTTCCCTCTGCTTCCCTGTCAAGGCAGGGAGTGGAGCACAATAGTCAAGGTCACCAATGGGCTCCTGAGAAAGAGCCATAGTTCCCCTCCAGGCTCATGAATCTCTGGATGCAATCTCACCCTGAACCCTCTTCCTCACCTCCCGAAAATGAACACAGACACTCAGAACTGTGTCCAGAAGGGAGAGGAGCTCAGAAACCTTGTGCATTACCTGATAGGGTTACCAGCTGAGACATGCCAGGGTGGGTCAGTGGCTTGGGGTCAGGGATTGGGCTTTATGCTAGGTCTATTACAGGATGGTCTGTTGGGGACAGGACATGTGAAATCAGGACAGCCACTGACAATCCATCTATAAGAACCTACTCTGTGTTCTGACCCTGACTCTCATGTGTGTACTCACCCCGTGTCATCAAAGTAGAGCCTCAGTGTAGCCCACACGGAAACACTCACAGTTGGGGACCCTAGGAAGAAGACAAGAAGGCCCGTGAAAGCCAGAAAACCAACATGCCAGTGTTTCCCTCAGACTTGGAGATCCCAGGAGCCATCACCCCTCGCCCAGACTCAAAGTTCCAGGTCTACTGTTCCTCACACCCAGGCCTTCTGTGGGTCTCTATCTTCCCCGAGGACTGCCTTGCCTCTCAGAAGGACTCCTGAGCATAACCTCTTCCTCAGATGGTAGACTTCCCACAGGCAGGAAGAGCAACAAAAGGTCTGAGAAAAGGATCCCTTAGGCTATTAGCCTAGGGCAGGGTAGTGGCCTCTCCTCACCTTACATTCCCTGAAGGCAGAACCAAGGACACACCTGACCATGAAGCCTGAACCTGTCCAGGCCACAGCCAGTGACCTACCCCAGCCAATAATGATGTACCAGTAGAAGTATCTCCTCTCGGGGAAGAAGGTCTCCACCAGCAGGGTGAAGAGGTACAGCCCCTCAATGAACAGCCAGAAGTAGTTGGACACGACACAGTAGTGGAAGAAAACCATGATGGCCTTGCATTCCACCTGCAGGGAGAAGTGTCAGGTGGAGGAAGGCATGAGCTCCTCTCCCCTGCCTCCACACATGAACCCTGAAAATCCAGCCTGATGGGGCCAGGGAAGAACCCTGAGCCCTTCAGCTCTGGCATGCTCAGGCTCAAACATCCCAAGGACCTAAGGGAATCAGCATTTCTGTCAAAGTTAAAAATCACAGCCACCGGGGTGGCACCTGTGGCTCAAAGGAGTAGGGCGCCGACCCCATATACCAGAGATGGTGGGTTCAAACCCAGCCCTGGCCAAAAAACAAAAAAATCACAGCCACCACATGATTCTGAGTCAAAGCTAGCCATGGAGGCCAAACCACACATGCAGAGAAAGGGCAGGGGCAGGCACGGAGCCCTCTCCAAGCCCCCTGACTCATTCTCCCCCATTTTCCTGCCACAGGGGAGGTGAGTAGGGACAGACGTAGCCAGAGGTCCCTGCAAGAGGCTCCCTGGTAAAAAGAATCTGGACACCTCACAGGCAGAGGTTATATACTCCTGGGCCTCAGAAGCCTCCTCTCACAGCCCCCCAAGCACACTTCCTGGCCACAAGACTCAAGGCCGTTCTTCTTGTCCTACCTTATCAAAGCCCTGCTTCTCTGCATGCCACCTCCCTCAGAGGTATGAAGCATGGGAAGGGGTCTGGGAAGACCCCTGGCCAAACAGGGCCTGGGTTGGATGACTCAAAAGACCAAGGGCCAGGAAAGCCTTCTCTGAGCCTCAGTTTCCTTCTCAGCCAACTGGGTCCTGGCATTCCCAGATGACCTTTCCCCAGTTGTTCTACCAAATACAACACCTAGGCCAAGGGACAGGAAGCATTTTGGTTGGAAGTGCCATATGCTGACTATTAGTAACTTTATGACAATTTTTGAATTTCTGCACAATTCAGGGCAATGCCTCCACCTACGGGAACACATCTGACCTCTGGGGTGCCAGGCAGGGAGAATGTGACCTGGGGGTTGGGGGGAGGGTGTAGGACCGTGCTAACAGGGGTCCTCTGGGCCTGCTCTATTCACTTACGGTGGGGATGAAGCAGTGGTTGCTGTCCTGCTCTGCATACAGGATCCAGTCTTTGATGAAGACAGAGATGGCTCTCAGCATGAATGACACAAACAGGTTCATGTGGATGAAGTTGCGTGTGCAGTGCAGCTTCCTACACAGGGGCCAGTGAGAAAGAGGCCTGCACCCACAGCAGTGAGCCGCAGTGCGTTTGACACCCTCCGTGCTCCCGTGTGCTCTGGGCCAACTTCACGGCTTTATCTTAACGGGCCCCCTCAGCCACCGCCCTTCTTGCCACCTCCCCAAATCCTCACTGACCCTCAGGGCCTGTAGTCTGGCCCCATGACTCTGCAGCCAGACCCCCCTCCTCTGACCTCTCTCTATCTAGACCAGGAAGATAAACACCAGGAATAGAGGTCTCCTTCCTAGGCTCTGCTGGCTGTGTGGCCCCAGACAAGTCAGTTGTCCTCTCTGGGGTCAAGTTTCCCATCTGTTATTCCAGGGGTGGGGGAACCACCTTCTGAGGGCTGGTATCTGGGGTGGGGAGAGGAGTGAGACAGAGCAAGGGCTCCAAGGCCCCAGCCAGCTCTAGGTAAGGGTAGGCTGCCCTAGCGCAAATGCTGCTGGGGGGTCTCACCGGAAGCGACACAGGATAACCATGGCAGTGGTGAGGGTGACGAGAGATGTGCTGTAGCCAACTGTGTAGAGGGCCTTCACTGACAGGTAGTAGTAACCCTGTTGCTGGACATAGGACATGTTCAGGGCTCCATGTGGAGCTGCAGCCAGTCTCCCAGGCCAAAACCTGCCACCCCCAGCCCAGTTCCTCCTCCTCTATTTCTGCTCCTGCTAACATGATGTCTTCCCACTGCTAGCCAGGCTGAGCTCTTTATAACCCCTTGCACAGCACCAGCATTTTACATGTGTTCAGTAAGTGCTTGTTGAAGGCGTGAGCACTGACCACTGAGAACAAACAGCAGCATCAGCCTGAAGAAAGGTCTGGAATCTCCCCCACTGGGCCTGGCTAGCCCGGAATCCTGGAGGAGCTGGAGTGGGAGGCTCAGGCAGCATACCAGCTGTCCCTTGGGTGCATGCAGCCTGGGTACACAGCAGGTGCTCATGAATGCTGCCAAGAAACCTGAGTTTCCTCAGCCTCACCCCCAACACTCCTGAGGGACACGGTAGACACTCACCTGGTCCCCAGGCTCAGATTCATATTCATCAAACCCACAAGCATCATAGTAATGGGGGAAGGGCTCCGACCAGCCCTCCTCCGTGCAGTTCCGGCTCACCACCCCCATGTCTGCAGTGGAAAGAAAACTCAGTGAGGTGTGGAAGTGACCGAGAGGGCCCTGCAATGCTAATGCAAAAATTACTTCTTAGTGGGAATTCCCAGAAATCAATACATTCAACTGGGAAGTATGGGGACAGAAGGTTCAAGAAATCCATGATTGCTGATGGGGGAGGAGGTGGAGAGACAGGGATAAGTTGATCTCTTAACCAAAGATGAAGAGACTAAGCTGGCTGCCGCCAGAATCCCTATATCCTTCCTCTCTGAAACATTTCCATATACCCACCAGGGAAAGGCCTGAGCCCTCCCTGGGCCCTGGATCAGCCTATATCAAATGTCAATGTCACCTGGGAAACTGCTCACAAATGCAGATTCCAGGCCCACCCCCAGGGGTTCCATCTGGGTCTTTGGCACATCTCCAAAACATATCTCTAGGTGAGGCTTCCTTTCCAAGCCTGGGCCTCCCAGCAGCTGCAATATCACACATTAATGGGACACATGGCTTGCAAGGTAAATTCACAAGGACCAGTCCATTCACCTATAGCAGGATCTTTGATTGACTTTAAGGCTATTTTGTGGGACACCTGAGGGTGTCATAGCCATTGCCCACAGCAGGGTGGTGGGAAGAGGAAAGGGAAGCTTCTTTGAAAAACAATTTATTTAAAAAACGAGTCCTAGATGGAAAAGCCACTTCCTTTCTTTTATTTCCCTTCTTTCTCTTTCGGGCTGCGGAACACAGTCTTGGCTGGTTTTTGCCTTGCCTGGGGCAGTTTTAGCCTTTAATAACAGCTTATTCATTCTTCTCTACCCAAATGGTCTGTGAGTATGGGCCACTGATGTCCCAGACAGAGGAGGAAGCAAGCTATCCCCCTTTTATTCCAGCCCAGTCCCTGAGTATGGCCCCAGATCGATGCTTCTCCCCACTTCCTGGGGGTTTCCCTGATGTGTCAGGACACATAGAATCGTTCTTCCCTTCCCAGGATTCAAGGATCCCGAAACTGTAAAGCAAGAGACACCTGCAGAAAAAGGGCTCTAGCGCCCACACTGCTGTACAGAATCCTCCGCTCTATGGCCAAGGCCCCTCCTGGGAGCTCAGGAATGAGGCAGAGAGGGCAGTGGACCAGGAGAGAGACACAGCAGGAGGCAGAGACCATGAGATGCGAGCCCTCCACATTGCCAGCCTGTGTCCCCACCCAATTCTTTTTTAGCCAAGGGAATCAGAAATTTACTTCCTGGGACTTGGGAAAGCAGCAGAGGGGATGACCCTGCCAAGAAGGAAAGCTCTGCCCATGGTGGAGAGCCCAGTCTCCATTCCTTCTCCAATGCTGAAATCTGTGACACAGGAAAAGGGAGAAGTCTGGCAGGACCCGGACAGCAAAGAGGCTCACTTCTGTCTTAGTAGATGCCAAACTGTCCCTTTTTCCAGCAAATCTATCTCAGGCAGATTCCTTTCAAGTTCCTTTGAACACTTCTTTCAGAAAGTCTGAATGTCCCAGGGAAACCACTGGCTTGGCCAAATCCCTTCCACTCCCTGGGTCTCATTTCCTCTCTGCTTTGCCCACATCAGGGTGGCGGGAAGAGGAAAGGGAAGCTTCTTTGAAAAACAATTTCTTTAAAAACGTGTCCTAGATGGAAAAGCCACTTCCTTTCTTTTATTTCCCTTCTTTCATTTTTTTTTCTTTTTATAACACTATGTAGGCTCAGAGAAGTATAAACCTCTTTGTTCAGAACTGTTCCATGAATGTGCCACTGTATTGTTCTGATAGAAATCTCCGGAAGATGGAGTGTTCTTGAGATTGTCAAAACCCTGCAGTGACTGTGCCTACTTTACAAAGCTGTTTTGCCCCAGCAACTGCAGAAATAGGCAAAACCTCAGGGCAGCAGTTCCCAGAGTGGATACCTGGGAGACTGGATAGAAATGCACATTCTCAGGCTCCACCGTACGCCTAAGAAGGCAGAGATTCTAAAAGGGGGGCCCAGGAACTTGTGTTTTCACAACACCATGAGATGACTGTGATACACAGTTAAAAGTTTGAGAACCACTGTTTGGTATGTTGAGGTTCAAAAACCATCAGAGACCAGCTAATCCAGGAGTCATTTACCTTACACCCTTTTCTGACGCCCCTGAAAATCTATGCATATGTTTTATCTGCACACTTTTCCATGGAGACAATCGGTGGCTTTATTAGAGGAGAAAAATGACCTGCCAAAGATCACAAAGCCACCAAGGAACAGAGTCCAACCTGGAATGGGTCTCAAAGCTCAAAAACCCACAGACACCCTCCCTCCAGCCAGCCACGGTGGACCTCGACCTGCAGCTTACCTGAGAGATCCAAGGAGTTACTGTCAGTAAAATCAAACTCTCCTGCAAAATACAGACATGGGCATGTGTCACAATGCCTAGTGTATCAACTTGCCAGGGTTAGCCACAGCTTGTTCTCTACCCTGGAAGACCAAGGCTGCCTGTGGTCTGGAGGACTGAGGGGTCGGGTCCTGGCAAACAGGCAGCATCACACACAGCAGCCACAGGCTTTTGTGCCACACTATACCTGCTAACACCAGTCCCCTTGGGTTTGCATTTCTATGCTGCTCAGGATGACCCATGACTCAGTCTCCCATCACCAGATCACTGCCAAAGGGAAGCCAGGGCCTTCCAGAGTGGAGAGGAAGGGACCTTCTCAAGAAAAGGGCAAAGAACGTCAACATGGACCCAGAGCTTGTGATTATTTTTTTGGTGCTCAATTGTCTACCCTGGCCTCCAAAACTGCTTTCATCCAAGGGAACCAGAACCCCAAAGATTTCATCCTCATTTTTCCCCTTGTCTCTCTACTTTACTGTCATTTCTACCCTTTTCTCATGCTGCATCTGGGCTAGCAATGAACTCCCATTTCCACTCTGCGTTCCAGCTGACACACCACCTCCTCCAGGAAGGCTCCCCTGACTCTTCACTATTCTACCTGTGCACAGCATCACTGAATCTCTTCTGTTCTCTCCCTGGCTGTGCATTCCAGCTTCCCAGCCAGCCATCAGGATGTCAGCCTCTGCATGGACTCACATGCACATTCAGACCTGTCAGTGTTCACCTGCACGTGCCTATATGCATGTGCGGGCTTGTTTTTTAGCCCCTCTGCTGGCGAGTCTCATCCTCCCAAACAAGCAACCTCCCTGAGTTTGAGGGCTGTGTCCTGCATCTTTCTGTGCCCTCCACCTCCAAGATGGCCAAGATGGGGGAGGGGCGGGGCAAGGCAGGGAGGCAGGAAGAACCTGATGCCTGACTAGCATCTCATTCTACCCCTACCCATTCCCCACAGCTAGAGCCTGGGCTCTCCTGAGGGTAGGCTCCTGATGGATGGGCAGATGGGAAGATGGACATTGGTCTGTCCTCACCAAGGTTCGTCTTACCGATGGTTTCAGTCTCCCAAACTGAAACAGAGAAAGAGAGAGAGAGAAAGAGAGGTGAGTAGGGGCTGGAGACAGGGGCTGCTCCCAGTGTGTCCCACTGATCACCTCCTCCCCCAGCCCCAAGCTCTGGAGAGCAGCTCTGCTGGGATCTCAGAAAACATGCAGACCATAAGCTGGGACACTAGAGGCATCTGCTTCCACCTCCAGACCAGAATGAATAGCAGTGTTTGAGAGGAGGAGAGAGGCCAGTACTCCCTCCCTCATCTCCACAGCCATGTCTCAACCAGCTCCCAGGAGGCAGAAACAAAATGAGGAATTCCATCCTCTCCCTTCCAAGTGTTCAAGGCAAGTCTCACCAATCAAGCTTTGTGAGCAGAGATGCTAAAGGCCCTGCCTTAATGAACCATTAAGAATCAGAAGTGTAAATAACACTTCCCTGGTGCCATTGCCAGAGGGAGGATGGAAGGGAGGGAGGTCTGGAGGAAAGCATATCTTAGGGAAATCTTATTTTACTGTTGATTCATTTTGCCTTTTGTTGTTGTTATTGAAAAGAAGCAGTCTGGCATGGAAGCTGACCCGGAGTAGATGTTCAATAAACTCAAAATAAATGACTGAATGAAAGGAATACACGCACTGAGGAAATGATTGAGTTGGTTACTGTAGGAATGAATTCAAAATCGGGGCTGAAACACAGGCTGCTGCAGCCCTACGTCCCACCACCCACTGCACCTCTCACATTAGCTCTCCCCCAACTATCTCCTTGGGCCCGGCCTGCTCGAGGTCACACCAGTTCTCAAACCCTGGGGATGGCAGAGTTCACCCCACCCTCCACCTGTGCTGTCAGGAGGTCTGGAGGCTGGTGGGCCCCAGAGGGAAGGAGGGATGAGGAAAAGTGGGGTGCATTTTATACACCCTGTATCTGCCCTTCAGGGGAACCAGAGTAGGCCTGTGACCCTAACACATGCCATCCTCTCTCTCTGCCATCACCTCAAGCCCCTCCCTGCTCCAGGGCAGAGTCAAGGTTGCTGGCAAGTAAATTTGCCTTTCTCCTCACAGAGAGAACAGGGGATGGTGGGAGGCAGTACCCCAAGCTGGAGCAGAGCTTGGAAACTGACCCCTTCTAGGAAGACATCAGTCTCAGCATTAGGCCAGTAAAGGAAGAAGCTGAGGCCAGGTCACAAGAGACCTGTGCACAGCCACACACCACTCAGACCCTGCTGATCCCCTCTGGAGCCACTGGCCAAGGCTTGGTGGTAAGCAGGTTCTCAGGAAATTTCCCACCTGGGGTTAGCCCTGCCAGCTATCTCTGCCCAGCCCAATCCCTTTGCGTGCTGCCCACCTTCCTTGATGCCCACAGAGGGGAGTGGAGGGTCAGGGTGGGCTGGACAGACACCAGCCTTCAGTGGGAGTTTACAAGCCTTGGCTGAAAGGCAGGAACCCCGCTGGAAGAGCCCACCAGACTCGCATCCAAGAAGCTGTCAAAGCCACCCTTTCCCCTCAGACACCCTCCTAAAGGATATGGCCCACCAGGGCTTCACTTTTCTGGGCAGGGCACTGCCTTCTGGCGCCTGTCTTTCCCCCTACACCCCACCTTGCAAAGCTCAGCTACTCTCCCACCCTACAGACTCCCACATTAGAGGCCACAGCATTTCAGTGGCCTCTAGGGACCTCAATCAGACATACCCCAAACTGAGGTCTTCATGACATTGCATCATGACCAGCCTTCTTTCACAGAGAGGGTGCCAGCATCCACAAGTCACAGATGGCACTGTCCCTGAGTGTAGTGCCCTCTCTGTGGGCAGCCAAGACCCCCTCACCTGAGCCCATGTAACTGCCTAAGGGCAGCAAGGACTGCTTTGCTTAGCAAACATGAGAATGTGCCAGCCTGAAGTGAGGGCTGGGCCCTGTGCCCATTTCCAAGTGGGTGAGAGTGGGCGAGGGTGTCCCGAGTCCAGCTGTCTGCCTCTCATGGCCCACTCTGCTGAGACTGTCTGTTTGCGTGTCCCTCTCCAAGCATCCTCTGGGCCTCTGAGAATCTCTGTGGCCGTGGGAGTGATCGTGATCTCAACAGCCGCCAACATTTACTACTAAACATTCAAAATGCATCAGGCCCTGCACTGAGGGCCATTCACGTGCATCACTTCACGGTATCCACAAAAAGACACCTCTGAGGGAGCCAGACCACAGGTCTCTGACAGACAGGGACCTGGAATGGAGGGGAGAACTGCCTTGCTCAAGGAGGGGAAGTGACAGAGCCAGGATAGACCCTGCCTGAGAGCACAGCCTGGTCCCACCCACAGTGACGTATCCCCATGTGTGCCCGTGTGTCTGTGGTTCCAACCGCCACTCCAGACCCTGGGTTCTGGAGCAGGGCACGTCTGACCACAGAGTGGCCTCCCATCCCTGGAGCTTGTTCCCTTAGGAGAGCGCTAGCCGAGTTTGGGGAGGGGGCTAGACCAAGCATGACCTGAAGAGACCCTGGGCTATACCCACCTTGGTCTGGGTTGAAGATCTGGAAGAGTTCTGGGCAGCTGACCAGGACCATCTCTCCCACACGGGCAGGCTTCCAACATGTGATATTGTCCCACATCCCAGGGCAGCCTGTGGGGAAGACAGCCATGGTGACAAGGGCCCAGCCACACACACACACACACACACACACACGTACGCACATCCCACACACAGGTGTGCTCCACTGCTCACAAGCCAGGCCCTTGCAAGAAGAGCAGGTGCAGGGAGGGAAGGCAAGGCTCACTGAGGCAGGGCCAGCCCTGCACCCAGAAGACCCTTCAGAGAAAGCCGGGACAAAGCCATTTCAGGAGCTCTGGGGATTGAGAGGGAGACCTCACCTTATTTCACCCAGCACCACAGCCCTGCAGTTCTGGCAGGAGTGTGGAAAGGGGTCACGCCAGGGCAGGGCTGGATCCCTGGGATGCAGGGTCTCTGTGGCAGCCCCTCCTGCCTCTAGACCTCCCTCTTCTTCCAGCAACCTCCACACCTCCCAGTGCTCCTGCTTCAGACCCCGCTGCTTAGCAGGGCCCTCCACCAGCTGGCAGAGGCTGCTGCCCCATCACCCCTCCTTCCCCAAGGGCAGGCACAGATCAGGGGAGCTGGCCCTGGGAGGAGAGCATACGTGCACCATGCATCAGAGGGGGCAGAGGGGAAAGCCATTGGGCAGGTGCCTGCATGTGCCAAGAGAAAACTGAAAGGACTCAGAGCTGGGTGGAGGGAAAGGTAGGAGGCAGGGACCACTGTGGAGCCCACTGCAGTGTCATGGGGATCAGACTGACGGACAGTAAGAGAAGGACCAAGTGAGAGGCATTTAGGAGTCACCAAGACTTGGTGACGTGAGCTTCAAGGAAAGAAATGATGTCAAGCTTGATGACCAGGGTGGCCCCTCAGGCCCCTCTCCCCCTCTGCCCACCTCTCCCTCCAGCCCTGCCCGGCTCTCTGTGGAGTTCCCCTGCGCTGGATGCTGCCACCTCCTCCCCGACTCCATCCTTGCTATCTCTGTCCCTCCTCTGTCCCCATGCTAAAACGCCTCTCACCAAAGTCACCAGTGACCTCTTCACTGCTAAATCCAAGGAGCAATTTCAGCTCCTACAAGGTCATGCCCTGTCTGTCCTGACTAAATGCACGTGCTGGTGGGTGCCCTGCCCTTGGCAGCACGTCCCACTCACCTGGACTTAACAGGCAAAATTGCATGCAGACAACCCCAGTCCTTGGTCCATGCACTCCCTGGGGACTGAGCCCACAGGTAGCTGCCTTGCCCCATTCTTCACCCCCCACCGAGGGCAAGCACTCAGGATCTTCTCAGGAAGCAAGGCACAGTGTCCTCACTGACTTCTTCTCTCAACCCAACACAGATGTGACCACAAATTTTTCAAAAAGAATGTCTGGCCATGTCATTGACCCCCCCCCCCCACAACCAATCTCACACTTTCAGTGTTCCCAGCATCCTCAATTCCTTATCACAGCACCTCCAGCTCTGCTCTACCCTCTGTCCCCGGACCCACCGCTCACTTTCCACTCCAGCCTATGGGTAAGTGATTGCGGCCACAGGATGACAGCACTCACCCAGGGAAAGAAGAGTGTGGAGGAGGGAGCCCTGAGGAACCCCCATCCACTGGGTGGGCAGAGGAGCACAGGGAGTGATGCAAGAGGCTCAGTGTGGAGCGGCAGCAGGCGTGTGTCAGACAGCAGTGCTGCAGGAGAAGGACCCACACCTGCTGACCTATAAAGACCAGCCACAGAGAGGGCTTCTGCACCATGTAAGGGACATCAGGTGACTGGCAAGGCTCTGCCACACAGGGCCGCTGTGAGGGTTAACCAGTTCACTCACTGCAGGTTCACTGACGCTACCATCATACACTTCATTATTCCCACTGTGTGCCCATGGGAACTGTTCCTCAGAGAGGCCCCCCAGGTGGGGAGATGAGGCAGAAACCTGCAAGGCAAAATGACAGCAGGAAGGAGACCTGAGAATCGGGCCCAGAAGACACCTGGGCAGGTGCCAGGCAGGGAGGGCCTGGGGTCGGCCTTAGGGTCCATGATTTGGGGGTGCTGTTTGGACCAGAAGTTACCCGCAGCTTCTAGTCACTAAAACCCTGTCTCTTGGCATGGAGATCCCACTGTTCTGGAATTCAAATGCAGTCGCATCATCCTACATAGCATCCTGTTCATGGAATGACAGTTTGGGAGCCAGAAGCTCTGCAGAAAGCTCTGAGAACAACTAACCAAAAAAGCAAGAACACTGAAGGCCAGATGAGGGGAGCGGGCCCCAGATCTCACAGCAATAGGTCAGGTACCGCCGGTTCCTGTCTGACCATGACTGCAGGAATCTAGCCAGTATGCAGTTGGCTGTGACATCATGTCCTTGAAAGAGACCCAACAGGACATCTTTGGCTGCCGTGGCCCGTGTTGACCGTGGAGCGGCCATGAAGTGTGGCTGTGTCTGGCCTACACCCTGGGAGCCCTAGCCAACAGATGTTCCCTTAATGTGAAACATTAGGCCCTAGCACAGCCAGCTGTTACTGCCAGCCGACGTAGCTGAGGTCACAGAGCCACTTCAGATAGAGTGAGCAGGTCAGGACGGCTGAGGGGCAAGAGGGCCGTGGGGCCACATGGAGGAGGCACAGGAGAAGGGGGCTCTTGTGTGAAAGGCAGAGTGTGGAACACACTCTCTTAACAAGTATTTACCGACTGCCCACAGCTCCTGTGCTGGGGACCATCTAGGCAGCAGGGCTCTGGTGGTGGAGAAAACAGAGCTAGCCGAGAAGGTTACGTTTGTGGGCAGACTCAGGAAAAGGCAGGTTTCCGCTCAGCACCTGCCCCAGGAGCCCCCAGACTTGAGTCCTGATCTGCACAGGCTCGTTCATGTCTCAGGCCGGTCACCACCCCCTCAACCGTGACTCATGCTTCCTGTGTGCACTGTGAGGGCTGGGCGTCTCTGGGTACTCTCAATTTTCAGAAATTCACCCGGGACCTGAAAGTGCCCAGAAGATGGCTAGAGTGGCTGAGGGTGCCTTCCAAGGGGCACATCTGCCAAGGTGCCCCCCCTCACACCAGGGCCTGAGGGCTCTCAGAGTCTATCTGTCACCACTCTCAAAGCCCTCCTGGTACTTCTTTATGTCCCCAGCTCAGGCCCCTTCCAGAGTCCTCGGGACAATTCCTGCAACACTAGGGCCAGTGTGAAGTCTAGAACTCACATGACCTCATGACCCCGAAGACCCATATCCCAGTGTCTGAGTCTGGGGACAATGTCCCTGACCATACTGGGAGCTCACAGCTCTCCACCTACCCCTCTGGCCTGCATCACTAGGGTTGCAGAATGCCCTCATGCCCACTGCAGCCACCACCTCCCACCTGGCTCAGACTGAGGGCCCAGTGGGCTATCATCTCTTCTCCGCTTCTAGATGGGAACTTCTCCAACCTCAGAGGCCCTGCAGCTAAATCCTCCCAGGGGCCCTTTCCCCGGAGCTTGGAAGGATGGGAGCTGGGCTCCAGAGAGCGCCTTGGGTTTTTCTAACTAAAAACAGCAACTTATTTTCCTTCCACATACAGCTTCTATATCCCCATATGTTCTCCACTCCAGTCTCAACAAAGCTTAGTTTTGTTGGGACTGGAAGATTTCAAGATGCCTTTTCTCCTTCTCCCCCCTCCCTCCTTTTACTCATTTTCTTCTTCTCACTTTCCTCTTTCCCTCCTCCTCCTTTATTCATTTATTCAAGAAATAGTAAGTTCCTATGATGAGTCAGACACTGCAAGGCAATACAAGAGTGAGTAGAAAGGACCCAGACTCTGCCTGCACAGAGCCTGTGGTCTGGTGGGCCATGTTGATGATTTAGATTTTATGCTGAATACTTAGAGAAGCCCCCCAGGTGTAGCATTAGTTCCCTACTGCTCCTGTAAATTTGTAAGCAGACAAGTGTCTTAAAATGGATGAGTTATTTTCCTATTTCTGGGGTCAGAAGTCAATAATGAGTTTCACTGGGCTATAAGGTGCCATCTGGGCTGCGTTTCCTCTGGAGGTTCTGGGGATGCCCATTTCCTTGCTTTTTCAGATTCAAGAGGCTGCCCACATTCTTCGGCTCACAGCTCCTTCCTCCATCTTTAAAGCCAGGGGTTCGGTGTCCACAAATCTCTCCTCTCTGAACCTATCACCTCCTTCTTTCATGTTATAAGGACCTGGTGATTATACCAGGTTATACTAAATAACACAGGATAATCTTTCCATTTCAAGATCCTTAATTACAAATGCAAAGTTCTTTTTGCCATGTAAAATACCATACTCCAGGTTCAGAGAATTAGGTGTAGGCATCTGGATGGATGGTAAGAGCATCATTCTGCCCACTACACAGGGGTTTTAAGACCAAGAATCCCATGATCTGACTGGGTTGTGTGGGGAAGACAATATATTCTAAGGGCAGAAAATCTGGCATGAAGAGACTGGCTAGGAGACAGCGGCAGCCCAGGAGGGGGATGAAGGAGCTTGCTCTGAAGTGATGGCAGCAGAGATGGTGAAGAGTCACCATTGGACAGGGTCTGGAGGCAGACTGACAGGATACATTGATGGGATGTGGCCGGTGGGTGTGCCAGGGACTGTCAACACTCATCCATGTCAGGTGACTCGGTGCTCCCCAGTGGCTAAGTGCGTAGAAGTGAAAAACTGACCTTCTAAGACATCCCTCCCAGGCATCCACAGCTGTCTTCTCTCCTCCCCCCTGTGAAGCACCCTTGGAAGCCACATGTTGAGGGTGGCAGCATTCCAAGACAAAAGGATCCTGGATCCCTGAATGACTGTATAATCAAGCTTCATCTTCCACCTCTGCCAGCCACACTAGCCTGTGACATATGCAAGTGAGAGATGTCATCGTGCAAAGTCCCTGAAATTTTAAACCTGATTTGTTGCTACAGCATAGTCTAAGTCATCCTGACTAATAAATACAGGGAAAGGGGAAAAAGTGACACAAATGTCACCCACATTTCTGGCTTGAGTGCCTGGATGGATGGATGGATGGATGGATGGATCATTCACCAAAGCAGAGAAGACTGTGTGAGAAAATGGTGGGGGAAATAGGCAAGTTGGAAATCAAGAGTTT